GTTTTACATTTGGTTGCAAATACAGCCACACATAAGTACAATTAAAAACCCATTGTGTGTGTGTCTTAATTGAGCTTTTCTTGTTTTCCTTGATTTCCAGATGCGAGCCAGAGGCCAGGAAGTGATGAAAACGGTGCTGCGTTCGCTCGGCGTCGGCGATCTCCAAGTGTTTGGTCTGGCTCTTCTCAGAGGTACGTGTGGGAGATTCAGGAAGCAATGTTTTCTCTTCATTGACTCTGGAACGCAGAGGAGGTTATGCATAAACTCTCACTGTTCCTCCTCTTCTAATTTAAAACCCAAGATAACGAATATCTTTTTCTGGATTTGGAACAAAAGCTGAGGAAATATTTTGGTAAAACATGGAGCAGGAATTCCCTAAAGGTTAGTTTCTCTCTGCATAATCAATGGAATATTTCTCCTGACATTTTAAATGAAGAAGCTGAATTATTCATCCTGCATTTCCAGGTTCCATTCATCGTGTTTCTCAGAGTGAAGTTTTATTTGGAAAATGGACTGCTGATATTGTAAGTTTGGATCCCCCACATCCTGCTCACGTTTTTCCGTTTGATGCTCTCGTCAACGAGGCAGAGCGTTTTCTTTCTCATCCCTTTCCAGCAGCAGCAAGGTGCAGCAACTTTACTACTGGGAGCTGCGGCAGAAAGTGCTGCAATCCCAGAACCACCAACAGGAAGCTCTGCTCTTCCAGCTGGCAGCTTCAGCGCTTCAGGCTGAAGTCGGAGATTTGGAACGTCGAGAAGGAGCCGAAGACGAGGGAGGAGAGGAGAAAAATGAGAGAATGCAATACTTTCTGCCAGAAGATTACTTCCCACCTTGGGTAACAAAAGAAAAAGCATAATTATTATGCTTTTTAATCATCTCTAAAGATGTAATTTTTAGAGAAGGATGGGCGATAAATTGATTTTGTCAATTAATCGAATTTTCTGTTTTGGAAGATTTAAATTTTGGAAGAAAATCTGCATTTTTGTCACCAATGCTGTCCTTGGGTTTCAGTGTGTCAAAGTACCATCTTTTTTTATTCATAGAAGGAATGATTGAAATAAAAAACAGCTTTTAATTATGTCCTCTTGTCGCTTTTTAAAAAGGAAAACGGGGAAAACATTGATTAAAATCTTATTTTGGAATTTAAAAAATCAGAGAACATATTTCTAGGCCGTATTTTTACCCTTTTTAGCTAAAATAGTGACTCCAAGTAAACTGCACGCATATATTTTGATTGTTTGTTTTTTCACTGATGATATTTGTGTGTCAGCTAATAAATCGCAGAGGGAGAAACTTCCTTCTCCAACACAGTCCGGTGTTGCACGGTGAGCTGAGCGGGACGCCACGCAGCCGAGCCATCCTGCAGTTCATAAAGGAGGCCAGCAGCCTGCAGGACGCAGCGCTGACTTTCTACAGGATGAAGCAGGTCAGACTTTTACATTTCTTCACCTCCAGCAAATCACAGAAGGTTTGCAACCATTGCAGGCGGTCGGTCACCTTCTGAGCCGAGCTGTTGTTGTTTGTTTGGCCTGTCTTTGTAATTATTTCGCCGCTTATTAGAATACCTGGCCATGAATTAATCACCTGAACCCATTTGTGTTATTTCGACTTCTTAAAACTGTGCAGGGAAAAAATGAGCTGAGAAGTTCGATCCTTCTCGGTGTGGCGCTGGATGGAGTCTATATCTATCAGGTGGGTCGTAAATGAAGTTGGCATACATTTATTATGAGCATGAAGGTCATACTAACAAATTCAGTGAAACATTAATGAGGACACATGCATTTATTTAAGGATGTACGATTACTCCCACAGTAAATATGAAATACATTTAAATTATTTAGATGAGTGTCAGTGTTTACCTTCTGCACTCTCTGTCGTCTTTATTACTTTCTTTTTTGTTTTATCTAAAGGAGGTGGAAGGGAAGAAGCGTATACTGTTTGCTTTTACCTGGTCTGAGATCGACCGGTTTACTTTCCAGGTTGTTTTTTTCCCCTCCACTAACAGATTTCAGGCATAATTTCACTCAACAGAAGCTCTTCCTCTTTACTCGCTCTTCATCTTTCCTCTGCAGGGCAGCAGGTTTGAAATAGCTGCAGTCGACTCAAAGCTGGTGTTTTACACCCACTCAGCCTTCCACTCAAAGCACATTTTGAAACACCTGAGCGACAGCCATCGCTTCTACCTGACCAGCAGGGACGCAGCTAGCTACGTCCAGCAGCTGGAGGACATGCAAAGTCAGCAAATTTTGTTTCACTTCAAACTTTTTTCCCAATTGTGCATTTAGATCGTTTTAAATGTCCTGATTTCCTGCGTTTGGCTCTCTGTGTCTCAGCCCGTCAGCTCCACAGAGAGGCTTATATCTGTGACATGACACATTTAAGACAGAGACTCCGATGTTTCAGCCTCACTGCATCGGCGTCAGATTGCAGCAACATGGAGACGGACACAACCTGGACCAAAGACGCAGCGGAGGAGGAGCAAAGTCCTCTATTAGGTCATACAATTCAGAACCTGGGATTTCTTATAACATGGATTTGTGAATTTATTCATTTTAAGGTTTTCTCAAGTTGTAATTTAGTTTTTATTCAATTAAAACACCATCAAAATGATGGCTCAAATATATATTTATATATAATCCATATTTTGGACGTGGAAGTTGATTTGGAACTTGTGTGAATATTTTTGACTCAAAGGAAGGGACCTATTTTGCAAAATTTACACAATATCTTGACAATGTCAAAAATCAGTCTGTACCGTTACACCATAAATTTGAAAATTCTTGTTTTTCAAAAATCACTGAAGTTGCGCACTGAAACCATTCATCTGTTCTTTTTTGTTTGTTTTAAAATAAATAAAATAAAGTTGGCTTTGTTTCAACCCTCATGGCAGGTGTTGAATCTGAAGAGGCTTTTGTGGATGACCCAGCAGACGTGACCTGGCTGGCTGAGTTCTTATATGGTGTGTCTGTTGACGGACCTTTGCAACTCCCATCTTCCACCTGGGCAGGTGTGTGTTACTATCAACACCAAAGAAATTATTTACATTGTGTGTGCATCATGTTACTTTGTGCATCACGTAACTGGAAATTCTTTCCTCCTTAGCTGTGACTGCGGAAATGAAACAGGTGAGCAAAACTCAGTTGTTTCTTTGAGGATGATTTATGTTGGTCCTACTTTAAATGTATTTTTGTTTTCTTCTGGTTGTTCAGGTTTTGGGCAAAAGAGTGAGTGAAGCTTCTCACTCTTTTGATTCACAGTGAAAAGCAAGAGGAGTTTGTCACATGTTCTGCAGCTCAGGACAAGTAGATGACAACGAGGCACAGCAAAACAGTGGAAATATACCAACAAAATATTCTGTTTTCTACAAATTTGCATTCAAAATGAAACAAAAATATATGTTTAAAATAATATTTGCCAGTATGCTCAGCATCATTTGGCCATTATGCTGCTTAATACTATAAAGTAAACTTAATTTTATTGTGAAATGTAACCCCTACATAATGCTAATGTTATGTTTCCATTCTGAGTTTTGCAAAAAGTTTTTATACCTTGTGAGCTTTTCCACATTTTTTCCCATGCTACTACAACAGGAAAATATTTCTCTAAATAAAAATCTGAAAAGTATGGTGTGCATTTGTACTCAGCTGCAATTACTGCTATGCATAAATCAGTTTTAATAAAAAAGATATTAGTTTCGATAAGATTAATTTCTCAAATTAAAAGTACTTTTCGAAAATAAAATGTAAACGGGTGTTAAACATATTTCATTCTGCCCACATCTTGCATTAAAACTTTATTCACATAATGTTAAAAATCATCATTTTTCGTAGCTATAAGACAAGACTTTATAATATCAGTTGATGTGCAATTAAACCATTTCAATTGGCCGCTGCCGATGAGGGGGGCGGTGTCTCTGTTTCTGACGCAGTCAGGATGGCCGAGCGGTCTAAGGCGCTGCGTTCAGGTCGCAGTCTCCCCTGGAGGCGTGGGTTCGAATCCCACTTCTGACAGTAACACTTTTCATTCATTATGTCACTCACCGTCATTTGATACTGCACATTAAATCTGGACGCTTATTCAAACAGGTAATACTGCCATTTTGCGTAAGGGGCGGGACTCACAGATCGGTTCCCTGTCTTTGCCATACGACCCATTTAATGGGAAAATATCACGTAAAAAAGTGGACAAATAATTTTAACGTTCCACCATAATGTCAGAAACAAACTATATCGTCCTTACGAAAATGTCACTTTTCAGCAGAATAGTTTAGTAGGAACTGACGGAGGCGGGGTTCCATGGTGTAATGGTTAGCACTCTGGACTCTGAATCCAGCGATCCGAGTTCAAATCTCGGTGGGACCTTGGCTTTTATGTTGTCAGTCTTTATTTCTAATTCACTGTTAACGTAGTGCACGTGAAGATGTTGAACAGTTTTTTGTGTGTGAGGGAGGGCACATTTGTCAGGATGGCCGAGCGGTCTAAGGCGCTGCGTTCAGGTCGCAGTCTCCCCTGGAGGCGTGGGTTCGAATCCCACTTCTGACATTACTATTTTTACCTTCTTCTACATAATCTTTGTATTTTCAGAACAAATCCGGTGGCAACGTGAAATCTTTGTACATTTTCTACAATAGCAGTTGATAACTTCCTACAATTTAGAGATTTTTTTAAAAAACGAATTGTAACTTATATAAAGCAGCCGCTAAATAGGGGTTCATATTTGGGTTCATAATTATTGTAACTAAATATAAGTTATAGCTTAATATAATGCGAATCTGTTCATCCGGTTAGAATTTCTTAGGTGACGTGTTAATACGCGCTGCGCACCAAAACTGAATTAAATTATATACGATCTCATATACAGCAGATGTACACGGTGCCATCCCTTTCACTTTAAGGTCCTGTTATTACTTCTCATTGGCTGTGGTTTAGCAAACTGAGTTACGTCACTGAGAGGTTAACCAATCAGGGACACAAACATTAGCCAAACACGGAAGACTTTCACACTGATGATAAAGTTGAAGAAAATCCCCACACCTCCTGCAGACAAATGCAGTCTGAACGTTGTTTCCGTTTACTTTAATTAAAAAGAGGAGAATCTGATTATTTTGTTGGACATATGGGTTGCTCATGGGTTGGCGTCGCAGTTCCGCTTTGTTTTGCGGTTTTCTCCGTAGCTGTCGCCATTAATGTGGAGGCGATAGGTGAGTCACCTGAATATTTGATGTCTGGTGAAAGATGTTAAAGTCAATTACCATCCTTGAAACCAAAGCAGTTTTGTCTTAAACCGAAAAGAAACCTGTAACGATGTAAATCACGCCAACAGCGCCCCCTGCTGTCAGGCCCTCCAGCTCCAGTGTTTCTTGTGTAACGCCTCGGTGTTTCTTGCAGCCATGCCGCCTCCTCTGCCCACCGCCGTCGGTGTCCTCTCTTTGGCCGGGATGGCGCTGATTTGGAGGGACATTAGCTCGAAGGTGAAGGGTGACAAGCGGACGTTGGGCAGTCTGTGGAGCCAGTATGTGGCGGTGAAGGCGGTGGGCTGGCTTGGCAGGCGGCAGCGGAACAAACTAGAAGCCGATACGCTGAAGGTGAAACAGGTCCAGGAGGAAACTCTGCTGAAGAGACTCCAGAAAAATGCGGACACTTTCTATGGAAGAAAGTATGACTTCCGCTCTATTGCAGGTATAGACAGAAACAATACTTATTTGAGAGCCTCCGGATGTCATACTTGTAGTTTATAACAAAGGTGATGTGTGGGCTACATCAGCTGTGTTTACAGTGTTTTATACTTTAAACTTTATAGTATTTTATTTAATTTCATCAACACAAAATGAAAAAAGAGTGGCATATATTTTTATTCAACCCTTTTTAACCCTGATACACTTCAGTAAAATCCTTTCCAGGCATGTGGAGAAATTTAAACCAACGTCCTAAGCTTTTATTATCTCACCAAGGATTGATCAATTAATCATCTGAAAGACTGCAAATCTACCAGGGCTGCCCAGCCGACCTGAGGGACTATTAGTCCTCCAGACATTTGGCCATTATGACCCATAAGTCATCTAATGGGCGAACATGTCAAAGCAGGAGTTCTAATCAAATTTAAACTTTTTGCCAATTTTTCAAAAAGCTATGCGTCTCCCAGAACAACAACATCCCCTCAGTGACAAATCCAAGTAGAATCTGAAGTAGTACTTGAACCGCATCATCATTCTGCACTTTCAGATTTTATTTGTAAAAGAAACAAATAAATAAAACAATAAAACAATGTTCTTCTTTCTGCTTCTAATAAGTGTGACCTGTCATAATCTGGAAAACTTAGACATTCCTGCTTGAAAACGTTGAGACATGAAGTGTTTTCATTAAGTTGACCCCCGTACCTTACTTTCTCGTACTTTTCGTTAGATGCTGCTGGTTTCCGAGCCCGTCACCCCATCACCACGTACGACGACTATCGGGAGTTTATCCAACGCATTGCAGCTGGAGAAGAGAAGGTAATTATTGCTGAGAAGCCGCTGATTCTGGCCATGACCTCTGGGACGTCAGGACCGAGCGCCATGTTGCTCAGCACCAAGGACACAAATGCTGACTTCTTTCTGCAGGTCAGGCAGCTTCAACTTCACCTCTTTTTCTGGTGCTGTCCTGCCTATTGCATGTATTAAGAAGCATTGGTTTGTATCAGGGGGTGACTGTTTGTCTAGAGGCCATGCGGCAGGCTTTTCCCAAGTCCGACAGCCTTCAGCGCACCACCAAATTCTTCTACACCCCCACATTTCGCCAATCAGAGGCAGGAATTCCTATCGGACCAAATTCCTCCACACCCGCCTCGTCTCGCCACATCCTCAACCTCTACACGACTCCAGCTCCTGCCTTTGAGGTACAACCCAAAATCAGACAGTGTTTGTGTCCTTTTCTTGAGTTTTTTTTTTTTTATTTATTTATGAAAATGTTCTTTTTCCTGTCAGGTTCCCAGTGAGAAGGACACTTTATACCTGCACCTGCTGTTTGCGCTGAAAGATCCCAGTGTGGGAACGTTGGAGTCCAACTTTGCTTCTACAGTCTTTTATGCTTTCACTGCTCTTCAGGTACATGTCAAAATTAAATGCTCTGCTGAGCTACATTTGCTCAACTAATCATTCTTTTATTTTTTTCCACTTTTTGTCACGTTACAACCACAAATGTCAAAAGTGTTCGAGTTTATGTAACTTCCAGAATCTTGATCCCTATGTTGCAGCGCTTTGTTTCCAGTGTAACTTTGTTTTATCTTTTGAATGTGTGCAAAAAAAAAAAATACTTGCAGCACAAATTATGATGTCAGAACTTTTGTTTTGCATATCCAAGGGAGTTGGTGGGAGTGCAAGCTTAAAAGTATTTCCACTTCTTTACCACCTACATAATCTTACATGTAAAATCCAAACATTTAACTATTAAACACACATTTAAAAGTTAACTCACCGATATATTAACTATTTACAGTTCTTTAAATTTCACCAATAGATAACTATAAATGATCATACTATGTAAAGCGTCATTGTTGAAACATCTCTTCTAATAGTATATTGTATCATTTTTTCACATTCCTGTTTTTTAAAAGAGCCACATTTTATAAATCAGAGTATAATAATTAATTAGATAACTAGGAGTTTTTCTGTTTGGCGTTCAATCTGACAGGAGCGCTGGCAGGAGCTGGTGGAGGACGTGGAGCGAGGGACGATCAGCAGGGCCTTGACCCTGGAGCCCAAAGTGAGGAGCAGACTGGAGGCTCTAACGAAGCCAGATGCAGAGAGGGCTGCGCAGCTGCAGGTCTGCTTCCAGGAGGGGTTTGGGGGGATTGCCAAGCGCCTGTGGCCTCACCTGAACCTGGTGCTGGCAGTGGACTCTGGCTCCAATCAGATCTACGGGGAAATGTTGAGGGAGTATTACTGCAGAGGAGTGCCCTTCTATTCGCCCTTCTTCGCCGCTACAGAGGGTACGAACAAGTCTGAAACGATTCCTCAAAGGATTCAGTGCGTTGATCGTTAAAATTCTTGAGGAAAATTTATCTTCAAGCTTTGTTAAATTATGTTTTATTATTTAGTGCGCCTCGTTCCGCTCGGGTCGTTATTTGTGGTGCACAGCGCTGTAAAAATATTATTTTACAACAGCCCTAGTACGAACACTTAACAGGCTTCACCTAAAATCTAATATTAGCATTCACTTCCTCTGCCCCTGCAGGTCTGATAGGGGTGAACCTGTGGCCCCAGGAGCCAGACAGACGCTACCTGCTTTGCCCGCGCTCCATGTTCTGTGAGTTCCTGCCGGAAAGCAGCCTGGATGAAGAAACCCTCCAAACTCTGCTGATGGAGGAGGTGAAGGAAGGAGAAAACTACGAACTCGTCATCACCAACGCTTCAGGCCTTTTCAGGTCTGATGTGATACGTTTATTTTTTGAAAATTACAGAGAGGAAGTTTTATGAGGAGTGATGTATCATGACTATTGCTGAAACGATTAATCGGATTAATTGTGACAAATCGATTATTCAAATAATTGTCAACTAATTTAGTAGTCGACTAATCGTTAAATTAAATGTTTAGACTAAGACACAGGCATTTTGCTGAAGGAACAACACAATCAGAACAGTAATTAAGGCTGAATTGTGCAAAAATATGAATATGTATTTAAGATAAAAATAATCTTGTCTTTGTATGTTATACCCAGAGCTCCTTCATAGTTTTAACTTCATCCTGTTCAAATACTGCAAAAAGTTTACTGAACATATCCAATTATTAATTACTTAATGATGTTAAATCAAGCTTAACAAGTTGAGCTTTTCACATGTTGATGTTAGACAATTTGTTTTTTGTTAAATTATGTTTTAAGGAATTATTTACTTAAAACAAGTGCGTTCATCTTGCTGAAAAGTTTTTTTTGAAGTTGTCTTATTCCAAGAGATATTTGCACTAGAAACTGGACCAAAAATATTTGGTAAGGTTTTGTGTTTTTGCAATGTAACGGCTGAGTTCATCAAATAATGTTATGGTTTATTACAATGTGACAAACTTTCTGTGTCACAGATATCGTATCGGAGACATTGTGAAAGTCACTGGATTTCATAACCAGTGTCCAATTGTGGAGTTCCAGTACAGGTTTGAAAGCTTCATCCTTTAACTACCACATGTTTTGTCATCCAAGATTCTTGAGCTTTTTGTTGTTTTTTTGTTCTGTCTCCTGTCAGACGAGGTCAGATGCTCAACGTTCGAGGAGAGAAAGTCTCTGAGGCGTTGTTCCTCAGAGCGTTGAAGAACGCTGTCGCTCAGTGGCCCGGAGCTCAGCTAGTCGACTACTCTTGTGCCGAGAGCGGCATCCTGGGTAAAATCTGTCGGGCTTATCCTTGAGTTTCGAATTTGACTTTTTAAACTCCATGAATGTTGAATTTACTGTTCCCTTGCAGGCGATTCAATAGGAGGCTCAGATCCTCATTACCAAGTGTTTCTAGAGCTAAAAGGTGTGAGGAATCTAACAGAAGAGCAGAGATACAAGGTGAGACAAAATCCAGTAATCTGATTATTTCTTGCAAAAGTTCCTCTTACTTTCTATTCTTTCTGTCCCTCCAGCTGGACATTTGTCTCCAGAAGGACTCTGCGGTGTACAAGTCGTTTCGTATAAAAGGCAGCATCGGGCCGATGAGGGTGCAGCTGGTGTCAGAAGGGGCGTTTAAGGAGCTTCAGAAGAAGATGATGGCGTACACGAGCACCTCGGCCAACACTTTCAAAATGCATCGTGTGCTCCGACGGAAAGAGTATGCAGAGTTCCTGTTGGGGAAAACAGTTTCCTGAAGATGAGACATGAATCATGAACTGAAAGGAAGTGAAGTAGTAAGATTTAAAAAGTGCCTTTGGGAGGATTTGAACACAAAAAATACAACAGTTTATTTATACTTTAGGGCGATAATGTATTTAGTGTTTTTTATTCTATTATGATAAACAGATTTGATTGAAAGATTAATTTTATTCATTCAGCCGTACTTATGTGTTGAGATGTTTTAAGGACATCTGCTATTATTCAGTAAATACTGTTTTTATTTCCTAAAAAAATACTGACAACCAGTGAATTGGTTAATCACATAAAATCTCAATCAAATACAGTTACGTTTGTGGCTGCAATGAGACAAAATGTGAGAAATTTGAAGGGGTATGAATAGTTTTGCAAGTTTTTGCACTGATATGGTTTCCAACTAGAAAGTCAGTCCTATGCAGCATCTGAGTTTGCATAATAACATTAAATACATTTATTTAAGTTCTTATAGGCACATTTAAAGCTTGAAGGTGGCAGACGACAGATTACACCAGAAACTTTCTACCAAGTCGATAATTTGGATTTTAGACCACAAAAAGTATTTTATAACAAATGTTTTATGACTTAAAAAAAGGTTTATCCTATTGAATCGCCTGCAGGAGAACACAGTTACAGTGTCATAAGACAGGCGCAAAGTTTCTAACATTTTGGGTTTGATTATTTTCTTTTTTTGAGTAAAAGTGGGTTGATGCTTGTGGTTCCGATTACAAAAACATCGCTAATAAATGAGAATGTGTTTTTTTTCTCTTTAATACAATGAAAAAGTGTTCATCTGCAACAACCACCTATGCCTATGTTGAGGCCTGGGCCGAACAAAATCCTTCAGAGGGTCACAAATTGCCCCTGGGCCACACTTTGGACACCCCTGGATTACGCCATAATCTCCTTATTCAGTCAAAAACTGTAAAAAAATAATATTGGGAACATGTTAGCGTTGGATTTTAAACTGTTTCTGCAGCTTTAGTGGTTCAACACTAAGTAAAGGATGTTTCTAAAATAGTTAAAAACATTTTTCCGTTCTCATTAAAGTCTGGACATATATAACTAACATATATAAGTAACATATAACTCATAATTTAACTGATATATTGCCAATTTACCTGACAGTTTTTATGCTTTGGCTTATTAATTCCTTGACCACAGAGATTTTAAATCATTTCAATAAACTCCCTTCTTTGCATTTCAGTTCTCTTTGCTACCACTTGGAGGTGCTAGTCAGACATTTATGACCAACTGTGGTTTATTTTAAACAACTTGCAAGAGTTTGAATGTAAAATCAGTCTGTGCCGTTAAATCCATGCCAGAAATCACTTCAGCAAACTTAATCCTGTGTCAGTGTGAACTGAAAAGCCTAACGTATGCAGGGGAGATTTTATGTAGAAATATGAAATGAATGAATTTAACCAAATTAAATGTGAACGTTTAATTTCACATTTAATTTGGAAATTAAATGTGAAATATAGTGATGGTTCTCTTTGTTTTTTCTTTTCTTTCTGTGGTGTGCTGTTGCATGAAAAGTGTTTCTCCTAGTAGAGTTCATAAACTGGGCTAATATTTTTAGTCGCGTCCTATTTCAGCTGAGATTTGACATTGTTCTCAGTTTATTTTTGCTTCAGTGATAACCCCTCACACCGTCTGCGTGTCAGCTAATCCCCAAAAAGAGCTAAAAGACTGTTCTCACTGGTCAACACTTGACAAATTCTCTATGAAACATTGTCAAGATACCAAAGGTATTATTTTTTGTTGGCAGAAAACAACTAATTGACTGCTGCAGTACAATATTTTGCACAATTTCTCAGCTTATTTTGGTTTGTTTCTTGTTGGAAGGTGCGAGTGTCTCAGTTTCCTGGCGGATTTGCAGCCTTAGAAATATTTCGACCATGTGTGCAAACATCTGCTCACTTGCTAGTTAATTCAGTGTAAGCAGCCAAGATGCAAGAATGACAGGCCTGATTCCTCAATGGGTCTAGTGCTGAGGAAAGGAAGGAAGGCGGGTTTAAATGAGTGAAGGGAAATTGCATGCAGAGTGACTTAAAGAGCATACTGTCCTCCAATTAAAGTCAGGATTAGTGCCGTCGATTTTCATTGAGGAGGAAGATTGGTGGGCAGTTCTTAACAAAGATCCAAGAATAATTGTCAAATCAATTACAATTTATTAGTTATTATTAATCACGCTGAAATCCATTAAGGAAAAACATGCAAAGAAAATACATAAACTCTTTAAGTCGACTTCTAGCATTCAAAATGTTATCCAAGTTGAATTGATGTGTCACTTTGAACCCTTTGAGTCCTACGTTTCAAATCTCCGCCTGGATATTTCTGCTTATTTTTATTGTACACAGAGCTTTAAACTGTATACAACTCTCTCTCTCTTTCTCTCTCTCTCTCTCTTCCTCTCTCTCTTTCTCTCTCTCTCTCTATAAATATATATATAGTTAATTTGAGCAGGAAAGTTCGGAAGAGGAAAAAATAGGGCTGAAAGTCACCAGATCACCTTCATTTCTCTCTTGACTGAATGGATTGTTGATTCGGCTTCAGCTGCTGTTCTACCAAAGAAAGTTAGTTGGAGGGACAACACCTCACAGTTGTTTCTTCTCACTCCTCATCACCCTCAATGGGACACTAATTAAAACAATGCCTTCTTAAAGATGGCATTGTCCAATGCTGACCTCATTGGAGGTGTGACCAAAATACAGCTTTGGGAAACATTGAGCACACCATTGAGAACCTCATGGTTATTCCACCAAATATTGATTTCTGAACTCCTTCTGAGTTAAAACATTAGTATTGTTCCTAAATGAATATGAACTTGTTTTCTTTGCATTGTTTGAGGTCTGGAATGATTATTTTGAGCATTTCTCATTTTCTGCGAATAAATATTAAATTTCTGCTTGGAGTTTCAGAGACATGTTGTCAGTAGTTCATAGAATAAAAGAACAATTTTCATTTTATTCAGACATGGACCTATAATAAGTAAAATCAGAGAAACTGTATCTTTTTTTCCAGAGATAAAAACACTCTAGACTCTAGTAAATAAATCAAATTGAACTGATAAAATGTTTTAGCTTCTCCAAACGCTCCATCATGGACTAAAAAGTTACATCTGCTGTGTTTGTGGGCACAGCACAGTAATGTTTCTGGCATTGTGTTGCACCTGACCTTTTGTGCATCACTCAATCATGCTAGACCACAGAACCGATAGAGAGCATATTTAATGGATTAGCCTCTTTATTAGTAACAAGCAGAGATGGATGAGCTACAAGCAGACAGGACAATGAGAGATCATTAAAAATAGAGCGCAGTGAGTCGCTGCCAAGACCTGAATAGGAGCCACAAAGAGGCGAACAATGCCTTAACCGACTGCAAGGTGGCCTTTTACTTTCACTAGCTGGATGAGTGTTTTAGGAGTTTTTCTTTATTTAAATTTTAAGATAGTTTGAAAAGCAACACTTTTTCATCCTCTGAAGATATGTGACTGTACGTAACTTGATAGCCTAGCATTTCCTGTCAACACATTTGATACTGCAGCATCTCCAGCGAAATCAGACCAGAAAAAAAAGCTTCACAACTTTGAGAAACCATTTATTTGCAGCACAGCGATGAACTGGTGATAATAATACTTACTCAGATGCTACCCTATGCAGCCACTCATAAAGATTCACTCACGTCGGCATGCTGGATGCTTAAAGTGGCTATAGAAGGAAAGTAATCACCTTTTTTTCTGTTTAGTTCAACTGGCCATCATTTGACCACTGATCCCGATGTTTTTTAATCCTGCTCAGGACTCCAGTCAGCAATTTTTAGATGAATTCCTTCTCCAACACCTGAATCCAAGGAATGGCTCACTACCAGAACTGTTGATGAGGGAATTCATGCGTTTGACTGAGAAAGAATACTGTTAAAAGTTTCAGGACAGCAGCTTGGGCTCCAGTTATCTTGATTGTAAGTTTTTTTAATGACTTATGAAGATAAAATGCAGATTATGTGTGTAAAAAGTGTGAATATGATGACATTTTTCACTGTTTTGATCAATTTATCTTTATGAAATATAACATATTGTGACTTCTGATATTATTTTCTGAAGTTTTAAAACCTACTTTTTAAGGTAGTAGACTATAATTACGTTAAAGAAAAATGAAAATGATGCATTGTCAGTTTGAAATGTTTCTCTTGACGCTTTGACATAACGTGATAATTTCTAGAAAGATTGGTGTGATGGCACAGAGAATTGTGCTCATAACTAAACATAAAACATAAAGTTACCCGCTGAAATATGAGACTATAACAAAGCTTTCATTGCTGAATTTTCTATTGCATATACAGAAGGAAATATATTATTTCCAAAATATCATTTTATAAAAATATCAATAAAAGCATAACATTTTGTGGAAAAACATGATTGTTTTTCCACAAAATGTTATGCTTTTATTGATATTTTTATTTTTATTTTATTTTTTATATGTTTTTCCACATTTGTGGAAAAACTTGATTGTTTTTCCACAAAATATTGATTTCTGAGTTAAAGCATTAGTACCATCGTTTCTAAATGAATACAAATGTTTTCTTTGAATTATTTGAGGGCTTAAAGCACTGAATCTTTTTCATTATTTTGACCATTTCTTATTTTTTGCAACTAAATACAACATTTTTGCTTAGAATAAATGAACAAAGTTCATTTCATTTAAACATGTAAAGAGTAAAATTAGAAAAACTGATCTTATTTTCTTTTTTAATCAAATCTCCATTTCTATTGCTTTATGAGTTTTTGAGACATGCACATCTCATATTTAAACTTTTTGGTGAAATAAAAATACTTTTAAAGGTGAATAACTTTTAGCTGAACCGTTCTGTTTGCACGTTTGCAGCCATCTTGTTTTTTTTTCCTTACGTAACATTTTCCTTCCAAAGTATTTTTTCTTTTTTCTCCTTCTTCTGTTGTTGCATTTTTGCACAATGTTGCTACATTTTGCCGCTCAGTGTCGTTGTAAACGACCCTCATTCATCAGGTTTCATGATGCCACTCACAAAATTTAATATTTAATGACAATTACATTAATTGACCTAATCCTTAGGGGTCATCTTTCTCTGGTGAGCGCCACTTTAACGAGCACCAAACGCTCTGAAAGTGAAGTCTATTCTTAGAACAAACCTCTTCAGGGGTGTTTATTTTGCTGTTTAGATGTGTGAAGAAAGTAATGCACTGCTTTATGAGTTGAGTCCTCTTAAAAACATTTCGAGGCTTATCTTTTAAATCCACTCTTAGCACAGTTTATCCCATGCTTTAATTCTCCCACAGGAGCGCTGATAGAGCATTTGTCATCTTCACAGTCCCACCAACACGTAGGGAAGTAACTCTACGTTCCCACACATCACTGAAACGACCAAAGCAGCACACGGTCCAGCTTGGTACAATAGCCTCCACTGACAGACACGCAGGTAATCCATCTTTCGCAACACACAAAAGCCATGTGCTGATAGTAGCACTGTGGGGTGTAATGGTGCTGTCAGATGCTCCCAAAAAAAGGATCTTCCCTCCCTCCCTCCCCGACTGGCTTCCCTCCCTCGTCTCGCTCCCTGATCCGATGAGAACGGGTCCCCACAGAGACAGGGCTGCGTCTCATTGGCTGCTGCTGCTGCTCAGGAGTGGATGGGGGGAAGAGACAGAGTGGCAAAAGCTCAAGAAGATGCAACTACTCTGCCACAGCATCCCTACAGATCCTCCAGCTGAAGGATGGCAGAGGTGTAGACGCAGGTTTATGGGGCTCGAATGAATGGAAAAAGGTTACAGGATAACTTCAGCCACAAAGTACTTTGGGTCTGGACTTTTATGTTTTTGTGACTGAGCAGATCTCTGCACGGTCGGACTGAGCTATCGCGGTCTATTTCAGGATGTACTGCTGTCTCCCGGGGAGGAAGGTGGTCGCATTTATTGTAAAAATGGATCCCTGCGTCCGGCGTTGGATTATCCTCCTCAGTACCTCCTGCACCTGCTGAGACGTCGCCGATAGCCGCCCTGCCGCACTTCTGGGATGGTGTGACGTCCAGCCACCTGCTGGCTGCCCCACATCTGGGTCGAGATGCCTGTGATGAAGGGGCTCCTGGCCCCACAGAACACCTTTCTGGACACCATCGCCACGCGCTTCGATGGCACCCGTAAGTACAACTGAAGGTGGTTTAAGTTGGAGGTGAAAGTTCACCTGCAGCCTTGAAAATGCAATTTTAAGTCAACAAGACATTTCTTTTGGTTTTAACTCAGAAATGTTGATTTAACAACAAGCGACAAGTTGTCTAAACGTTGTTTTTTGACAATGTTTGCTGCAATTTAGACCAAATGAATATTTCACAATGTGAAAGAAAAAAACTAACTTTTCTCTATTATTTTTCACAATATCAACTTATTTTACTAAATTAAAGTAATTTAAATTTATGTTTCAAATTGCATGAACAAAATTTCTGATCTGATATTGAATTTTGTTAATCAAATTTTATTTGTATAACACATTTCAGCAGCAAGGCATTTCCAGGTGCTTTACATCATAAACACAAAGTCATGCAACATAGAGTAAACAATACATTGTTACATATTACATTTCAAAAACAATTCTAAACAGGTGTGTTTTATAGTTGAGATTTAAAGGACGTCAGGGTTTCTGCTGTTTTACAGTTTTCTGGAAGTTTGTTCCAAATTTTTGGTGCATAGATGCTGAAAGCTGCTTCTCCTAACATCTCAGAAACATTTAGTGTGAACAGGACATTATCCTCACGCTTTGCAAACTTGAAATAACCATTAAATGTAACTCAGGATACAAAAACATGGCGCTAAGCATTCTGGGAAATAGTTCCCACTCCTGTCTTTTTCTTCTTTCAGTTTTTTTAAATACTAACCTAAGAACTGTTTGAAAAAATTAACAAAAAAATTATTCAACACAGCTTATTATTGTAAGTTTATCTTCCAAAAAAATCTGAAACTCGCTAAATTTATTTCATTTAAGAGAAGAAGACAGTTGATGCAACTAAATGCTGCTTAATTTTTTTTACAGTGCAGCTTCTGCACAAACAATAAATAAAGACTTGATGATTAAATAATGCTACTGACAGCTAATTATAAGCCATTTTCCACCATAATGCCATCAAACCACTTCTACATCCACAACCACAACCTTGAATGTACTTCATTGTAATTTTATCCAAAAAAAAAACCGAGAAATAATTTCAAATATTTTCAGGTATCAGGTTTTCAGAGCAAGAGACTGAAATTACTTTTGAATTCATTTTTATCGAATCGTTATTTAAAGCTTTTCGGACTGAGATTTGGATCTAATTTAAAAGAAAAACCTGTTTGGATAAAACAAACAGCAACAAAACAAGTAAGTTAGAAGACTCAGTTAAATCAGCTAAAAACAAAAGCAAGTTTCATAACAAGATTATTTTTGTCTTAAAAGAAATTTGAATTGTCCCAAAAGAATCAAAGTAGTCAGTGGTTTTTTTTTTTTTTTTTTTCCAAATCACAGACTGATTAACCACTTTCCTTTAAAACATAGTTCAAGCTCAGTCTGATTGGATGTGAATTTCAATTCGTTCAAAAGATTCTCAATTAGATTTAAGGGTAGACTTTGAATAGGCCATTTGAACCCAAGAAATATGGCCTGACTGTATATTTAGTTCACTAGTGAAACTTTTCCCCGGTCTTGAGTAGGCCTGTCACAATAATCAATAAATCAATTAAACACATGACACATTAAAACAAACTCAATAATTTACATTGGCGTGATTTATCGTTTATCTCTTTCTTTAAAAAAAAAAAAAGAAAGAGACAACGATGATAAAAGTCTTCAGTTGGTCTCATCTAGCCTTTTTTTGATGGATAATTTTGTTCACAAAGTCTTCAAAATAAATTTTATTTGTTGTTTTGCTTATTTACTTGGGATATTTCAAATGTCTTGAAAGTTTACTTTGAGAATGTGTTCTTGCATTATTATACCATTATCGCCATTATTTTACTTAAAAATTGTTTCAAAACAACAATATTATCATTTATTGCAGATTTATACATTTATACACATTGTTAAAAACACAAAAACAAACTTACAACCATCCATGTTGTTTGTTTTCACAAATGTTTATCACTTTGTTTTGTTCTGTTACAATTAATAACGTTGAAATGCAAAAAAGTTTGAGATCAAGAACATATTTGGAAAAAGCAGTTTGCAGCTGGATTAGATTGATTTGTTGATTTGGGTGTTTCTTTAACAGTTTGGCTGAGTGGAAAGAGAGGCACTGAAGCCCATTGAAAACCTCCTGTTGATTCCACCAAATATTGATTTCTGAACTTTTCCTGAGTTAAAACGTTAGTATTGCTGTTTCTAAATGGTTATGAACTTGTCTGAGGTCTGAAAGTGCTGCTTCTCTTTTATTTTTTGGACCATTTCCCATTAACAGCAAATGAATACAAGATTTTTGCTTGTAATTTCAGAGACATGTTGTCAGCAGTTCATAGAACAAAAGATCAGTGTTCATTTCACTCAAACATATATCTATAAAAACTAAAATCATAGAAACGGATCATTTTAAGTCATTTTTTCCAGAGCTGTATCTGCCGATTAAGGCCACAAAAGTTTTTGTTCTGTTGTTGTTTCACAGTCAGACAAAAGCATAAAATCGCCCTTTCCGACCTTTTACCCATCAGTTTCACACGTTTCACTCCAGAAAAGTTTCTGCAGCCATTAGGCAGCGTTGTCATTTCTGCTCGGCTTGCGTCTCTTGTTTTGTACCTTTTGCGCCCTCGGGGAGGTTGTTGCTCATTGTAAACAGACGCCGTTGGCATGTCTGTGTTTGTTCGTGTGACGTGTCAGCCTGACCTCCCTCAGCTGGTTGCAGCAGCCAGAATGAAACTGTGACTTGGAGCCAGAGCTGCTTTTGCTTTTTTTTTGCTTTTTTTTTTTGTTGTCTATTTCTACTTGGGGACACAAATCCTTCTGACATACCGGCAATTAAAGCTGAGCTGCACACACGAGGTGTTTCGTGCTGCGTGCTGACTAGAATTAAAAGAAGGTGTTCAGTAGTTTGTGTTTAAAATGCCGCAGAGATTAGTTGGAAGATGAGGGGGTCGTGCCCTCTTGTTTCATGTTCTCCGCTGAAGAGTCCTTGAGCTTTACATGGACTTCCTGCCAACTCTAGAGGCTCTCTGCATGAATCTCCTCTCTGACCTCTGAACACAAAACAGTAAAAAGTGGAAAAAAAAAAACAATTTTACCTTTTTGGTTCAGTGTTTTTCTCAATGTTTTGCGTTTCTTCTTGTTTATTTCTGGCTAAAACTGCTAAATTAATTTAGCAAAATGTGGCTTGTGCTGCTTTTGAAGCGTTGTTGACATTAATGTCTTGAAACATGTTGTGCTATTTGGGGTACTGACATGTCAAAGGGCTCATCCCCATTCACATGTTGTGGCATTTCAATCCCGCGGCTTTTGGACGGCCGAGCCCGCGCCGCTAAAAGCTACAGGACACAAATTGCATTTATATCTCAACTTTCTGACCACTCATTATCAGGGAGTTAACCGTTTTTTTCCCCTGCATGTTTGCTGCGCAATAATTTAACGCTTTGAATTTCAAGTCAAAAGTGAGGCTGCTGTCTTCAAACTTGCCCAGAGCTGCAGCTCCTCAAGGGGTGGCATTGAGCCCGCTGCTCAAAATAGCTTCTTCCTTGTTGCCTGGGTTACAAGGTCCCGCCACTTGACATGGAGGAGGCTTCAACGATTTGGTGTTTAGAAAAAACAATGGTCAGCCTAAAGAGAAAGCACTTGAACTTGCTTTGTAATCAAGGACTTGCACGCAGCAGCTGGTCTCTTGTCTCAGAGCGTTCGAATCGTAAAACAAGCGCCGTTGTGCGCAGAGCAGCTGCAGTCCCTCCTCACATCGCCGCCTGCAGCTTGCAGCAGGTGGAGGTGGCTGGATGCAGACATATCCACAACGCTTAAGCTTTTTTTTTATGTAAACGTTTCTGATGTTGCACCTCAAACTTCAATGCAATTGTTTTACTGGGATTTTATCAGACACGGTTGCACATCACTAAGTTGCCATGTTAAGGAATGATGACCTCTGCACCTACTTTTGGAACCTCTTGCAGCAGGAACGTAAATCCAAAGTCAAAAGAGGCCAAAAAATTTCACTTTTTTCCTTTTCAACTGTGAACTAAGCTGCAGTTCTTAAATTAAATAAAGTAACCTGAAATTAAAAATGTTCTCCACCAGCACAGTGGCTGTTATTAATATCTGTACGTTTCAATTTGTTGTGTCTTGATCTCAGAGGGAGTTCAGTTCAGTTGAGGAGTCAAAGGTCATTTTTAGGAAGCTCAGCTGTAGATATGTTTTTCACCGGGGTTCATGAGCCAAAATCCTCTCCTGTTTCTCCTGCACAAACTGTGTGATGTGTGCTACATGCCTTTTTCCCACCTCCCCAAACTCCTTTGCACGACCTACCCAGCAGTGTTTTCACGCTGACAGCAGTTCTCATGCTGCGGTGCGGCCTGACCACACTGCAGCTGCAAGCAACGATAAGAAGCTGGTTTATTTTCTCCCAAATTCTCCTCCTAAAAGGCGACCAAAGAGGGAGACGGAGAAGACTGAACCTTTCTGAGGCTCATTGTTAAACAGCTGATGAACGGGTTCTAATGAGACCAAAGCCCAGCAGGCAGGCACCAGAGAACAGTCCAACCTGTTTGTTGCTACTGGAAAAAACGGATTCGTTGCAAAGTTTGAAGCATTTAAAATGGGCATAGAGAGCGAAGATGTGAAGGTTGAGTCCCCAGGTGGACACTGGTGTACGTTTCTTTTGAGCAAGAATCAGAAATAAACTGTTTCTAATGTTCAGGTCTCCACCTGGGACGGCAGCTTCGCCTCCAACGGAGTGTGAATTTAGGTGTGAGTGGGTGTGAAGCAGTTTGCTGCGTTCTTGGGATAAAACTGCCACATAGCTGCAGGTTGCCCAGAGTTTTAGAGCTCAAATCCAAACGACGCCATTATATTTGCGAAAGAACACATGCTCTAGCATTACCGCTGCAAATTCTGTGAATTGGCCTCGTAATCAGTAATTATTGGTGACCTTTTCCCCCTGCGTCATTGTGTTCTCCCTGACTTGACCCAGTAGCTGATTACATG